TGCAGTTGTTATAAAAAGGGGAGAACTGACTCTTTAGAATTCTTTAGAATAATTGAACAGATAAAAACTCAGGTTGGTGAGTCTCAGCTAAAGCAAAGGTAGCAAAGAACAGATACCAAGATTGTCGAGAGAGGACGACCTAGAATAGAAGCCAATCCCTCAGAGTAATACTAAACACGAACTCCTGTGGCTTGCATAAATCACCGAAAAGCAAAGCTGATCCACACTGCCACCAGCCACACCAGCCAGGGCGCATGCTGACTTCGGAAAACGCTGAGCATGTTAATTGTGCCACTGTATCGGTTGTGCACCATGGAAAACTTTGACCTTGCTTTCTTAACGAGCAACCCAGATCTTCACCTCTCTTAGGAGGTGGGTGTGAGTGCAAAGTGGGAAATCTAAATATCCTCAGAAGAAAGAGCTTCTCATTCTCAAGGAGGAATTTAGTTGTTTAACTTTTTATTAAAGTATATATATATATATATATATATATATATATACACATAAAATTACACATCGTAAGCATACATCTTAGTGAATTTTCACAATTGTGTAAGCAGCACCCAGATGGAAAAAAAAATATTACCCAACTCAGAAATCCTTCTTACTTGTATTTTCAATTTTTTAACTAAAATTCTCTCCTGAAAAATAAAAAATAAATGTTTTTACTATAATAAAGGGATAATCAGGTGATCATCTCATCAGATTCAGAAAAAGAATATGATAAATTTCATCATCTTTTCATGATTTTTACCTTTAAAATTTATTAATTTGAGAGAGACAGAAATATCCCTTTGTTGTTCCACTTATTTATGCATTCTTTAGTTGTTGCTTGTATGTGCTCTATCAATCTGAAGACTTGGTTATCAGGATGATGCTCTAATCAACTGTGCTAGCCAGCTAGGGCATCATTCATGATTTTTAAGAAGTTTAGCAAACCAAAAATAAAAGAGGAACTTCCTTAATCTTGTAAGGAGTATCTACTTAAAAAAAAAAGTACAGCAAATATTACACTTAATGGTGAAAAGTTGAAATTTTCCCCACTGAGATCAAGAACAGATATCCACTATAATTGTATCTGGTATGGGTTGACTTGTGTACCTCCCAAAAAAAGGGTATGTTTTGCGTCCTAACCCCGAGTACCTCAGAGAGAGACCTTATTTGGAAACAGGGTTGTTGCAGATGTAATTCTTTAAGATGAAGTTATGGTGGAGTAGGGTGGGCCCCAATCTAATGTGACTGGCAACCTTTTGAGAAGACGGCCGTGTGAAACAGACACACAGAGAGAAGCCCGTGTGATGGAGAAGGCAGAGACTGGAAATGAAGCAGTTGTAAGCCCAGGAGTGGAACAAATGGAATTCTCATATGCTGCTGGTGGTAGTGTAAATTGGGATGACCCCTCTGAATGGCTACTTGGCAATATCCACTAAAGCTGAACAGACATGTAGCCCAGGAATTCAATTCCTAAACATATAACCAGCAGAAATACATACATGTACAAGAATGTTCACGGCAGCAGTATTTGTAACGACTAAAACTGGAAACAATCCAAATGTTCACCTACATTAAAATGGATAATCAAACTGCAGTATATTTATATAATGGAATGCAAAACACCAATTAGAACCCTGGCCAGGTAGCCCTTTGGTTAGAGCATCACCCTGATATGCCAAGGTTGTGGGTTTGATCCCCAGTCAGGGCACATGGGCACATACCAGAATCAACCAATGTCCTAACCAAAGTGGCTCAGTTGGTTACGCATCATACCACAAAGCAAAGGGTCGCCAGTGTGGTTCCCGGTCAGGGCACATGCTTGGGCTGTGGGTTTGATCCCCAATCAGGGCATGCACAAGAGACAGATGATTGATGTTTTTCTCACACATCAATGTTTCTCTCCCTCTCTTACCCCCTTTCTTCCTCTTGCTCTAAAACAAACAAACAAACAAACAAACAAAAACCTACAAAAAGTTTTTAAAAGAATCAACCAATGGATGCATAAATAAGTGGAACGACAAATCAATTTCTCTTTTCCTCTCTCTTTCTAAATTCAATAAATAAAAATTCAGAAAAAACAGCAAGTAGAATGAGTGAACTATAACTATATGCAACAACTCAAAAAATTTTACAAATAAGCATAATCACACTCAAAGGAACACATAACCTGAACTATTTTATAATTCAGCAATTTTCAGCCTTTTTCATCTCGTGGCACACATAAACTAATTATTACAATTCTGTGGCAGAACAAAAAATACATTTTTGCTGATTTGACAAAAAAGAAAACAGGTACAGTTTTGATTCATTCACACTAGACTGCTATTGTTGTGTTGGCTGTTGTCATTTTTTAATTTGACAGACTAAGGGAAAAAATGTCAGTGCCCCTGACTAAATAATCAGGTATGGTATGTGCTTAAAATTCTTGTGCATACAAGTGTGCCATGGCACAGCAGTTGAAAATCATTGCTCCAATCCAATCTCCTACCATGCACACTCAGAATGCACAGCTACACACACAGCGATTCCACCTGAGAGAAATCCAGAAACTAGCTGAGTGACTCCTACACAACGGGCGAAATGAGAAAATACCCCCAAACGGGTGGGAAAGGCGGAGACCCTTTCTCACCATGAGTCTCACCCTCAGCATAGTGCTATCCAACTGCGAGGGAACCCCTGGCTCCCAGCCTCTCCCTGAGGAGTGAAGTATTTGGGCCACACTTCAAGCGCCCCAACTTTTAAGGCTCCCATATCAGGGATGGATTCCAAAAACACCTAGCTCAAAGCCAACAAGTCTTGTACACGTGACTCCCACAGGACCACAGCAAAGAAGCCGTTTTTAATGGGTGTGTGACTTCTTAAACTTTCATTTCTCATTGTACATTGCTTTGATCTCAATATACATTTTTATTGAGGTAAAAAGCACATCACATTGAATTTACTATCTTTATCATTTTAAGTGTAGTTTGTAGTGTTAAGTATATTTACATTGTTAAGCAACAAATATCTAGAATTTCATCTTGCAAAAATGAAACTATACCTACTAAATACTAATTTCCCCTCCCTCCTCTCCTCTGCATCTGGCACTACCCACCTATCTCTGTCCTGTCTCTGTTTTTTTTTTTAATTGATTTTAGAGAGAGAAAGGTGGGGGAGAAACACTGATTTTTTGTTCCACTCATCCATGCATTCATTGGTTGAGTCCTGCATGTGCCTTGACTGGGGATTGAACCCACAACCTTGGCACATTGGGACAATGCTTAACCAACTGATTTCCCCAGACAGGGCTCTCTGTCCCTATTTTAGCTATTTTATATACTTCATATGAGTGGAGTTATACAGTATTTGTCCTTTTGTGACTGGCTTATTTTATTTAGTATAATGTCCTTGAAGTTTACCTGTGTCGTAGCATATGACAGAATTTCCTTCTTTTTTAACTCTGCATAATATTCCACTGTGTGCATACACTGCATTTTCTTCACCCACTGAGCCGGCAGTGGGTATTTGTGTTGCGCCCACCTGTTGGGTATCGTGAACAGAGCTTTAATGAACTTAGGTGTGCAGATCTCTTTAACAGCCTGCCTTGAATTCTATTGAACATATACACAGAAGTGGGACTGCCAGACCATGGTATTTCTATTTTTGATTTTTTGAGGAACCACCATGGTTTTTCATAGTGGCTCCACCACTTTACATTCCTAACAACAACGCACAAGTGTTCCAGTTAATAGAATGTTGGCCACGTTCTCGCCCACACTTGTTACTTTCTGTTCTTTTGATAGTGGCCATCCTAGAGGGTGTGTGGTGTTATCTCATTGTTGTTTTGAATTGCATTCATTAGTGATGATGAACATCTTCTCCTGTGTTTGTTGGCTATTTGTGTATCTTCTTCAGATAATTGTCAATTCGAGTCTTTTGCCCATTTTTAAATTGAGTTACTTGGTTTGTTGTTGTTGAGTTGCAGAAGTTCCATATAAACTCTGTATTTTAATCCCTTACCGGGTAAATGACTTCCAAATATTTTCTGCCATCCCACAGGTTGCCATTGTTTCCTTCGACGCACAAGAGCTTCTTTCGGTTTGGGGCAGTCCTGTTTGACTGCTTTGCCTCTGCTGACCGTGCTTTTGGAGTGATATTCTAGAAACCATTGCTGATCCAATGTCCTGCAATTTTCCCGTGTTTTCTTCTAGTCTTACGGTTTTAAGTCTTAAATCCATTTTTGAGTTAACCTTTGTCTATGGTATAAGGTGAGTCTAACTTCATTCTTTCCGTGTGGATATCCTGTTTTCCCAGTGCCATTTGTTGAAAGGCTGTCCTTTGCCTGTTGCGGAGTCTTAGCACCCTTTTCGACAATCTCCTGGCAATACACACAAGGGTTTATTTCTGTGCTATTTCGTTCTATTGGTCTATCTGTCTTAACGTCGGAACAACACTGGCTTGATTACTACTGCTTTGTAATACGTCTTCAAATCAGGACATGTGAGGCCTTCAACTTTGTTCTTTTTAAGATTGTTTTGGCTACTTGGGATCCCTTGAGATTCCACATACATTCCAGCATGCTTTTTTCTATTTCTTCAAATATGGAGATTTTGATAGAAAATGGACAGAACCAGTAGATAGCTTTGGGTAGCATGGACATTTTAACAATACTGATTTTCAGTATACACACACTGAATGTCTTTCCATTTCTTTGCATCTTCTTTGATTTTCTCTAGCAATGTTTTATAATTTTCATTGTCTTTCACCTCTTTAGGGTTTACTCCTAAGTATTTTATCCTATTTGATGCTCTAGTAAACTGAATTGTTTTCTTAATTTTTTTTGGTCATTGTTAGTGTTTTGAAATGCAACTTATTTATTGGAAAGAGAGAGAGATCAATTTGTTGACACACTTATTAGTGCATTTATTGGTTGATTCTTTTGTGTGTCCTGACTGGGGATAGAACCTGCAACCTTGGTGTATCGGGACAATGCTTCAACCAACTGAGCAGCAGACCAGGGCTCAATATTTTCTTTAATGGTTTTTACATTCATTTTATTTGAGAATTCTATGCAAAGGTTACACATATTTTTCATGTGTTTTCCTAATACTTCCATAGCTTAAAAAAAAAGTTGTTATTTGAACAGTTGAAATGTATTCACATAAAGGATACAGAGTAGAAATCCAAAGTTTTTTCAAATGAATAGTCAACTTGTATTTATAACATAACTAACATTTATTGAACAACTCTTATTTTGTTCAATTTAATCCCATCTCATCTGGATTGTTTTGAGGATTAAACAAAACCATGTTTTTCAAAATATTTTTAAGAGATAGCAAGGAAGGCACCAAATGGTTATGTAGTTTGCCCAATTTCTATAGATTTTAACTGGTAAAATCAGGATTCTAACCCTGGTAGAATGACTCCACACTATTTGGCCTTCTCATACAATCTTCTTTTTCTGTGGGTTTGAAATACAACCTTTAAAATACACCAAACTGACAAAAATATACAGGGATTTACGGACTTTCTATTGTTTCAGTGATGTGTCTATTCCTGCACTACCTTGTGATCACTGAAAACAGCTATTCTGATCATGTTATGTGCCCTAATTAAAATTTTAGTAACTCCCCGTTGACCTCAAGATCAAGTCCAAACCCGTTAGCAAGTCACGTACGTCGCCTGTACCCCCTCCTCACACCTCTGGAGTCTCAGATGCGGGCACAGACAACTCCCCACTGTGTTCTAGTTATAAAAATCTTCTGGCAGTTGCTGCACAGCAAAACACACTCATTCCATGTAACATCTGAGTCCGTGCTTTTGTTCATGTCTCCTGTGCCTCATTTTCTTCACATCATTTACTGGGCAAGCACCTGTTTATTTCTATTTATTTTTAAAGATTAATTCAAACACCACACCTCGAGCCTTTCCTCCCTCCCTATCCCAATCGAGTAGAAAGAAATCATTCCTTCCTCTCATGTGTCTATTCCCTCGTACTTGTACTCTAGCACTGGTATTTTATTGCATTTATTCATTCACATGGTTCTCTTTCCCACTGTAATATGAGTATCTTGAGGGCAGGATCGTATCTTATTATGTACCGAGTACAACCTTAATAAATATTTGTTGAGTAAATCAATATAAAATAACAACCATCAAAGCTGTGAGCAATCATCGGATTTATAAAAAGATGTAACAAATATTAAAATGATAGAAAACATCATTTTTAAAGCAACATGAAAAAGTGAGTGTATTTAATCATACTTAGCACATAACAGAGCAAGTGGGTGAGTGGAGCAATAACAAGTCGCTCTGTAGCATGTTTAACAAACTGGCAACAGAGAAAGTTAGTTGAAGGAAGGCAGAGGAACTCCATCCTTTCAGCATTAGAACCGAGGGGCTCCATAATCATCTGGCATCCGCTCAATGTTGTACCTGATCGGGACAGAAAGTTAACACTGGTAAGAAAGGTGGGTCCAGTACGCACCTATAAAAACCCACCCTTGACTGACGGCAATGCTCTCACCCTCGCTCTGAGTCCTTTCTGTCAGTGGGAATATTTTAAAGGGCTACCACAATGAGTGATATACAGCAGAATGATGACTAGAATACATTTTCTTTATTCTTCAAAGTCAGAAAGGTCACAACTGGGCAAGCCGGGCACTGAGCCCAGGGAAGCCCGACTCCTTAGCCCGTGTCCTGCCCTCTGCACTGTGTTCTCCTCAGGCTGAAGGGCTGGGCAACAGCAGTGTGAAGGCCTTGCGCTGACATGGGAACATCCAAGAAGGATAAAGAACAGCTTTTTTTTTTTTTTAATAAGCTTTCAGTTTCCCAGAGGGGGTCTAATCACATGCGCTAGGCTTTAAAAGGAAAATTTCTGGCCAAAAAAGATTGGCTTGATTTAAATTACTGCTTTATGTTTAAAGCAACACATTGCTCTCTTTCTTCTGGTAATCATATTGTAACAACGTGAATGTCTGCCTCATTCCTAAATCCTAGCTTTATCTTTTGCCCTTGTTCTTTTGTCTCATCTCTTCAAATACAACTATATGAACATTTGATGCAACAAATCTCTTTGAAACTCTTCTATAACCTGACCTCATTTTTTAATTGATATGAACTACGTACTGTGAAGCACTTCCCCAAGAGGAAGTTCTCACCTATGATTAGAAATGTACATGATGGGAACTCCAGGGATCTTCCTGATTCTTCGTTTAAGGTCCCGGTCAACTGTGGCCACAATGTAACACTTGTGCTGTAAGAAACACACACCGAGGTGACTGAGTCTACTTAGTGATACTATAATGGCACAACCACTGGCCAGTGTGAAGAATTCATTCATTTTCACAGTAAATAGCAAAGGCAAGGTTATAGTAACTTGTTGAGTAGATACTATGATCTAGGAGCTCACATTTATAAAACATATTAATAAGCTGCCTGAACTGAATGTAGCTCTAAGAATCTTAGCAGTGGGGGTGGGGGGGGGGTTGCAGATAGAAAAGCTAAGCTGCGCACCATTTTTTGTCTCCAAAGTGGAAGGGACTTTCACATCTGAGGCAGACAATTCCTTGCTTTTGGGAAAATGCCCAGAAGGACTCGAGGCAAAGGCATAGTAAGTGCCTTAGGTTGGAGGGCACAGCCTTTGCCTTTCTCAGGATCGCAAGGCTACTGAGGCCTCCCGTGGTGGAGGCAGGCTACCTTCCTGGCCATGAAGCCAGAACAGGATCCCCAGGACAAGTCTGAGCCTAGCAACTCTGACAGAAATAACACGCAGCTGCCAGCTGGGAGCGAGCGTGTGTTGTACTTTGCTTCCATCACACCAAATCTTCTGTTGAGTTTTATAAAGCGCTGTAGGCTGATGTCTGCTGTGCGGTAGGAAATTAAGGGAAATGCTGGCCACACCCATGAGATGGAATAGCTAAAGGGCTGGCAGTGTGGTCACCCAGTGAAGAGGATGATCCTCAGCAGAGAGAGGCTCTTGTAAGGGCAACTAGTAGCAGATGTTCTTGTGGTGCTTGACAAGGATAAAAAATCCACCGATTCCAGCGTCCCTGAGAGACAGCACCTGGGAGACTTAGATGTAGCTGAGAACTACATCTGGGTTAGGCATGGCAGGGAGGAACAAAATTCCTTCATGGGGGAGTAAACGGAAATAGAACTGTATTTTAGGTTCACAGAGAGGTGAAATCTCACACAAGTTGACCCTTGAACAACCAGGGTTTTAATTGCTTAGGTCCACTTGTATATGGATTTTTTTTTCCAGTAAATACCTGCACTGTTTTTGTTCTGTGCTTGGGAGTTTGCAGATGCAGACAGCAGACCGTATGCATCGATCCACGCCGTTTTATACAGGGGGCCTGAGCAGCCACAGAGTTTGGTATCCACAGTGGGGTCCTAGACCCAATCCCCCATGGACACCAAGGGACAACTTAAGTTTTGGGGTAGCCAAAAGTTATAATAGAGATTTTTGACCGTGCAGGGGTCAGAGCCCCTAACCCTGGCATTGTTCAAGGGTCAACTGTATTACTGTCCACACTCACTCACTCTAATCATTTTATAGAGAAGATTTATAGAATCAGGAATCAGTAAGTGCCCCAAATCACACACCTAGCAAATTCAGGTGCTGGTATTTGAAACCCATGTCTCCTCCCCACCCCATGATCTTTCCATTACAGTTAGAGTGTACTTTTCCAGTCCGCATTCTCAAGTAAATGAGGACATCTCCACTTCCTATAAAGGGATTCTCTGCAAAATTTTTTTTTTTTTTTTTTACAATTTATATTCCTAGATCCTTCTCTGACCATAAACATTCAGGAGAAAATAGCTTATCTTTTCTTTTTTAAAAGCCCAAAGTAAACAATACCTGAGTTACTCTCTGGACTAAGCAGTCGTCTGCATAGGTTCCTTTGTGCGTGCATGGTAATCGTTCAAATCTTGGATCCTTGGCGATCCTGGAGGGTTACAGAGACAGAGTAAGGGAAACATTCTGGCAACTGGATAACTTTCTCAGATGCACTCAGTGAAGTAAGAGTAACACGATCTACATGTAGGTTTTAAGGCACCCCACTCCTCATGAAGCTGACCTTCTAACTGGAAAGACAACTGATATGAAAGGGAATTAAAACTTCCTGACTGACAGCTGGTGTGTCTTAGGTCATGTAATGTTCATGAAACCCTGAATTATTATTATTTCCATTTTACAGATGAGGTAGCAGATTCAGGGGTGAAGGTATTTGCTTAAAGTAATCCAGCTGGAAAATCCAGGATTTCAAGCCAAATCAATTTTAAGCCAACCAATTCATTTTTAGAAAGTTTTCTTACACATATGTACAAGAATATAGGCACAAGGATGGCCACTGCAGCATAGTTCATAATAGTGAAAAACTGGAAATAATCTGAATATCCATCAATAAGGGAAAAGTTAATACATTTTGGTGCTCCTATCCTATTAAAAAAATGAGGCAGGGTTGTAGGTATCAATGTAGAAGGACCTATAATAAATTGTTTTATTTTATTTTATTTATTTTATTTACTTTTTAAAAATTTAACTGTTCAAATATATAAATTGTTTAATAAAACAGGTCACTGTACTAGCTACCATTCAATTAAGAAAATATAAATCTTTTCTCTGATTCTTTCTCTAGATTTGCATTTGCCTGGAAAAATACATATTAAGTATATACTAATCATTTTCAATGGTCAATCTTAGGATAGGAGAATGAACAAAGTGTGAATATGGAGGGGGAATTTTATTTTTTATTTTACAGGGTGTGGCAAAAGTAGGTTTACAGTTATTTGTATGGAAAAGAATACAATAATAAATAATGATGCAAGAATAAACTCTTTTTTGCATACTCACAACTGTAAACCTATTTTGCCCCATCCTGGATGTATATGTTCATACTGTTTGCCATTAGCAAATCAAACACGTATTAGTTTCACACAAATCAGAAATAGAAAAACCCAGGCCCGCGATCCCCAGAGCCGCACTCGATTACACAATGGTGATGAGTCACCGAAGGAATAAAAATACAAGGCAGCACACAGGTACCACGTGCAGCAAGAATATCCCACACCGCAGCAGTTCAGAGCTAGGTCAATGTGGGCTGGGTAAATTTGAAAAAAGTTACATGGAGATAAAAATAAAATGAAGATAAAAGAATGTTCCAGGCAAAGTGAAGGCAGGCACGTTCCAAATGGGGCACCAGCCATCTGTGAAACGGTTCGGGTGTGTTCAGGGAAGAGGGAGAAGGTGTTCACAGGGAGGAAAGTGAGATGGGGCTGGAGAGGCAGGTAGAGGACAGGCTGGGAAGAGGGGTCTCTGATGCCAGGCTGAGGAGCGAGAGCTCTGTGACACAGGTGACGGGGAGTCATTCAAGACGTCTCCAGGACAGGGGACGCAAGCAAAGCTTTGTCTGAGGAAGACGGAACAGGACACGCTGCAAGACAGGCAGACTGACTGCCGAGAGGCAACGCAGGCGACAGTCTAGGCCTTCGCTCTAGTTCTCCCTTCACTGCTGGAACCACCGATCTCCTCCTTCCCACTGCTCTTTCCCGGAAACACACCAACACGCCTTAGTACTTCATCCATTTTAAAAAAGAAAAAAAAATCTTTTACTTATACCAGCCCTTCCAGGTAACACCCCACGTCTCTGCTTTTCTTCACAGCCAAACTTGGTGCTTCCACTTGCTGCTTCTATTTTCTCCCCTCCCACTGTTTATTTTTTAATTATTTTAAAATAATTGCCTCTTTACCCCTTTTCATTCAAAGTATTTCAACTATGTAAAAAAAGTATAAGGAATGATGAACTGTACCCACCATTGAGTTAAACATTACAAATAAAAAGAAGCCCCCTCTCCATTCTTAGTCTCCTTTTACCTCTCTGCAAGTATTTATCAGTCCCACACAAATTTTACTGTGTATATGAGATTATGTATGTATGTGCCTGTAAACAATGTAGCTTGCATTAAACATTTTGAAAACAATTTATTGATTTGAGAGAGAAAGAGAAAGAGAGTTGTTGTTCCACTTATTTACGCATTCATTGGTTGATTCTTGTATGTGCCCTGATTGGGGATTGAACCTGCAACCTTGGTATATCAGGATGATGCTCTGAACAACTGAGCTACCCAGCCAGGCCAAGTTTGCATGTTTTTAAACTTTACATAAATTGTATGTTCTACATATGTGCTTGCTTTCTTTTTTACATTGTCTTTGTGGTTTATCCACATTGACATATACCTCTACTTCGTTCATTTTTATTTCTGTGTAGTATTTAATTCATAAACATTCCACAATTTATTCATTATCTTAATAGATCTTTTAGCTGCCTGACATTGTTTGCTACTATACATGTAAGAAAATTCCAGTAATTGTTTCCAATAAATATATGTGAGCTTCGCTATGGCAGCCACCCTCCCCTGCTTTGTTTTTTTTTTACCAGATCTACAGTATGAAACACATTTTACCAGGCACACAGCAAGCACATAGAAACACACACACACAAAGGTAAAAAAAGCTCTGTGATACAGTACCCAACCTGTGCTACATGCAGTGCATGCTGGTATTTTATGTTTAGTTCAGTCTGTACTTCATTAAAAAACACTTGCTGTGAACCATTATGTAGACTCTGTAACCTATAGGTTGTGATCCCAGGTTGGAAGACACAGTGCTGCAAGGGTATGGACAACCTGGTTTCTATCAGACATTACCAAACTGCTCTCCAAAATGACTGCCCAGTTTACATCCAGTTAGCAACCCGGTGTGAGAATTCCCATTGCTCCACAGTCTCAACTATTTTGGTATTGTCAAGAATACTTTAATTCTTGCTGATCTTTTCGGTATGAAATGGTAATTTCATTGTGATTTTAAGGATTCTCTCTTTGTCTTATAGGCCTGTAGTTTTTAAATGCATTTTAAAATAAACCCCTTGTTGCCCTGGCTGGTGTAGCTCAGTGGATTGAGCGCGGGCTGGGAACTAAAGTGTCCCAGGTTCGATTCCCAGCCAGGGTACATTCCTGGGTTGCAGGCCATAACCCCCAGCAACCGCACATTGATCTCTCTCTCTCTCTCTCTCTCTCTCTCTCTTTCTCTCTCTCTCCCCCTTCCCTCTCTAAAAATAAAATAAAATCTTAAAAAAAAAAATAAACCCCTTGTTGATTATAATTGTTACTAATATCTGTGGCTTATCTTTTCACTATGTTTATGGTGTCTTTTGTTATAGAGAAGTATTCAATTTCAATAGGGTCAAATTGATTGGTTTCCATTATGGTTTGTATTTCTTAACAAATCCCTGCCCACTCTAAAATCACTAAGGTATTCTCTGTATTTTCTGTAAGAGTTTAGACACTTAATCTACCTGGAATTGGTTTTTATGAAAGAAGTGAGATAAAGATCCAATTTAATTTTTCCCCACAGGGATAATCAATATTTTATTGTAACAGTTAATCACTTTCCTACTATTGATCTAAACAATGCTACCACTCATACATTTGGGTCCCCTTTATTTGCCTTTAAAAATTAGCTGTATTAGGTATGAATAAAATATAATAAAACTTACTGATTATAAATATAAAATTCAATGAGTTTTGATAAATACACATATCCATGTCACTACCCCTACAATCAAGATACTAAACATTTCCATCACTACAAAATGTTCCCTGTGTCCCCTTTATAGCTGATCCCCTTCCCATCCTCAGCTGCAGGTAACCACTGATCTGCATTCTATTACTACAGTTTTGCCTTTTCTAGAATTTCATATAAATGGAATCATATTTCTGGTGTGATGGGATGTTCTAATTCACACCTATGATGATGGTTTCATGACTGTATACATTTGCCAGAGCCATCAAATGACACAATTAAACTTGGCCAATTTTACAGTACGTAAACCACACCTCTATAAAGCTGACACACACACACAAGTCCACAAGTGTACCTTGCACTTTGAATGAGTCTTTTATCCATGCCTAATTTTGTAACATCATGTATGGATCACTTGGAAATAGTGATTCACTGAGTTACACAGATCTTCCAAATACTGACACATTTCATTATATTATACAGTATCAAAATACTCATACTCAATATCTTCACTGGTCTCAACAAAAAGGTCTTTAGTATTGGGAAGGTGGTAAGCTCATGATTTTCCAAAACTCTAATTACTCTAATTAGAGTTTTTCCAAAACTCTAAAACTCAAGTTAAAACTTCAAGTTTTAACTTGAAAACTTGAATTTTATCATTGGTAACTAATACGATAAGTTGTTTTCCTTAGAATGACAGGTTCACTGCATTTCTGAGGAAGTATTTGCTAAATACCAAAATCTGAAAAATCAGTGTTTGTCTGTTGTTCTTTGGATAAAAATTACAGCCCATGAAAAAGCAGCTGGCTCGGCCCACAACTCAAACAAGCACACAGATGCTTTTAGCTGAGATGACCTTCACCCCGTCGTCAGCAGAGGCGCCCTAGCTGTGCTTCACATTATCACAAAGGACACCGACGTGTTCTCCAGGATTGAGACTTAATACAATGAACAAATTTCACCGTTTCATCAAGAACATTTTTTTCTAAAGATTCTATTTATTTATTTTTAGAGGGGAAGGGAGGGAGAAACAGAGGGAAACAATGTGTGGTTGCCTCTTGCGTGTTCCCTAGTGGGGACCTGGCCTGCAACCCAGGCATGTGCCCAACTGGAAATTGATCCAGTGCCCCTTTGATTCGCAGGCTGGCACTCAACCACTGAGCCACACCAGCCAGGGCTCATCAAGAACATTCTTAAATAACTCTGGCTTTTTTTTTTTTAAAACTGTCAGTGGTTGGCAGTGAAGAGTATGAAGACTACTAGCATTATTTGGGCTCATTGCCTTGATTTGTACTCAGGCACCGAACCAGCACTTCTGCCGTCAGTACAAATGTCAGCGCTCTGACAAAGGCAGTGTCTTGTATTATTATGAAAAGTTTCACAAACTCCCTGCAAAGGTCTCTGACATTTCTAGGGGTCCAGGACCATACTCGGGGAACTGCTACTCTAAACTCAAGGGTACTTTCTAGAGTAAACTCAAAACTGAGAATGTGCATTCTTTAACTGTGAGATTCTGATGGAAATGTCTAGATAAAGTAATTGAAAGACAATTTCTAACTGAAAATCTAGAGAAACATAAGAGGTGGCCCAGAAGACCAACATGATTAAGTTAGTTGAAGAAGCTTCAGCTTATCATTCAGAACAGCCAAGACATAGAAACAACCTATTAAACTCAACTGAAAACTTGAAAACAGAAAAGAAAGAAAGAAAAAAAGAAACATCCTAAGTGTTCTTCAACTGCTGGTGAGATAAGAAGATATGGCACATACACACATATAATGGAATACTCAGCCATAAAAAAGGTGAAAATGCTGCCTTTTGCAAAAACATCGATGATAGATCTTGAGAGTATCGCACTAAGTGAAACAAGGCAGACAAGGACAAGAACCATATGATTTCACTCATATGTGGGATATGAAACAGAAAGCAACAAGTGAATAAACAAAACAGACACACACAACAGTACAGTGGTTACCAGAGGAGAGGGGCTGGGGGAGGATGGAGAGAGCAAAGGGCGTCAAACACATGTGCCCGGAGAGACCAGACCCCAGGTGGCGAGCACACAATGGAGGACACAGATGTATTATAAAGTTGAACACCGGAGACACACAATGTTACTAACCAATACATTTAATTTTTTAAAAGGCCGCAGCTTAAAAATCTCTAAACTTCAATTGCCTATGTTCTTGACCATAGTTAACTAGTTTTATATTTTTATTTACTCTCATCAGCCAAGAAATCTTTGGACAGCAAACAGATGAAGTCAAAAGAACCTTCGGTATACCGATCTAGAACAAATCTAGACTGACCAGCTCCCTCCTACCTTAGAGCCACTCGATACTTCTGCCCCAATTTCTCAATTTCAGCCATCACACAGTCAGTTATACAGGGTATACCTGCCAGGAAAAAATACATGTTAGTAAAAGAACTTGTGAAGAAACTCACTTTACTCTCTCTGAATTATATCCTGTTGAGAACCTTAAAAAGACCCATGAGACTTCTGGATAAAGCAGAATAAGCACACTGAAATGAATAAGAACTGGAGGAGAATAAAATCCCTATTTATAAAGAAACTAGTGAACTCCAACCCCGCACCACAGATTCCATGAAGTATCTGTCATAGAGAAAAACTTACTCTGGATCCCCATCATTATTTTACATATTAACATCAGTTCTAGATGAAAAACATTTAAATGTGAACCAAAAGAAACCTAAAATTACACAAAAAATGTAAATTTGATCACATAAAAGTATAAAACTTCTCTTTGCAACCATCAAACTAAAAGACATATTAAAGTGAAGTATAAATAAAATTGGGAAATATATTTCTACATTTCTCAAAGGGCTAATTTCCTTAGTATATTAGGAGCTTATAATAGCTTAGAACTATGTGCTATTTTCTAGACATTATGCTAAGCACTGTACAAGGATTATCTCATTTACTCTTCAGAAGGATTCCTATCAGGTAATGTTATTATTATTCTTTCCCCCATTTTATAGATGCGGAACCTGAGACACAAAGAAGTACCCAGACAGCAAAGAGTAAAGATGAGATTTGAACCGAAACTGTCTGAATACAGACGGGGTTCTTAACCACCATGTCACATTTCAGTTCAGAGAAGACATACAAATGGTCAGTGAGCATAAAGAGGCTCAATCTTACTATAAGGAGATATTAATTGAAACAAGATTTCATTTTCTATCTGTTAGAGTGGCAGATTCAACAGACAAAAATACCCAATATTAGGGAAACAGGTATTTTCTTTTCTTTTTTTTTAAAGATTTTATTTATTTATTTTTAGAGAGGGAAGGGAGGGAGAGAGAGAGAGAGAGAGAGAGAGAGAGAGAGAGAGAGAGAGAGAGAGAGAACCATCAATGTGCGGTTGCTGGAGGTCATGGCCTGCAACCCAGGCATGTACTCTGAGAATTGAACCTGCAATACTTTGGTTTGCAGCCTGCGCTCAATCCACTGAGCTACGCCAGCCAGGGCTGGGAAACAGGTATTTTCAAACAAAGTTAGTAGGTGTATAAAATCATATAACTATTTGAGGGCAATTTTGCAATACCTATTAGAATTAAAAAATATACATGCCCCTTGATATTGCAATATAGCTCGAGAAAATGTATCTTGAATATTTCACTTTAACACAGACATATTCACCAATTTACTGCAGCCTTGTTTATCACAGGGCCTCCAAATGTCTAGCAAAATATTGTGTGTTTTTTTTTTAATTATAAACAATAGGCCCTGGCTGGTGTAGCTCAGTAGATTGAGTGCCGGCCTGTGAACCAAAGGGTCACCAGTTCAATTCCCAGCCAGGGCACACGCCTGAGTTATGGGTCAGGTCCCCAGTAGTGGGTACATGAAAGGCAACCACACACTGATATTTCTCTCCTCTCTCTCCTTCCTTCCCCTCTAAAAATAAATAAATAAATAAAATTATAAAAAACAAAAGACTATGTAACTTAAAAAGGAATGAGGCACATCTATAAATATTGACAGAAAAACATTCATAATACAGTTTTTCAACATAAATAGCAAGCAGAAATGAATAAGTAACATGTGGTCTATCCATCCAATAGAATATTATTTGGTAATAAAAAGAATTGATATATGCTTTACCATAGATAACTCTGAGAATGCTATGCTAAGTGAGAGAGGACCAAATATTTTGATCCCACATTAATGAAGTGTCCAGAATAGGCAAATCTACACAGACAGAAAACAAATTCATGGCTGCTAGGGATGGCGGGAAAGGGAAGAGTTGAAGGGTGATGGCTAAGGGGTTCGGACACTTTTTTGGATTAGTGAAAACGTCTTAAAGACCAACTATGAACACACTACAAACCATAGAACTGTATACTTTAAATAGGTATGTTGTATACTATGTGAAGTATATTTCAAAGTAGTTTTAAAAAAGCACATAAGTAATAATGAATGTGATTCATTTTTATTAATAAAAGAAACAAAACTAACTTTCATCCTGGAGAGATTATTTATGAATTTTTTAAAAATTGCCCCTCTCTGAGGTAAGACATTATAGGGAACTTTGATTTTTTTAATGCTGTGCTTTCAAGTACATTAATACTTTTGAAAGCAGACAAGAGTTAAGAAACTTTAAATCAAAAACAACGCCCAGAAGAAAGAGCAGTTGTAAAATAAAGGTATAAAGTCAGTAAGATCAGATCATCATGGAACCAGAGAGCAATCCAGGCCCTGAGAAGATCAATTTCAGGGCCATGCAGCGGCGAAACAAGCAAGGCTTGCATCTGGGGCAGGGGAGTGGGCCCAGGAGGATCATTATAAAGCAACACAAAGTAACAGAGAAGAGCACTCAGAAGCCGAAAAGAAAGCTGATGGGAAGCTCATTATTTCTCCTTGTTGGAGTATCTGATGGAAATGGAATATACTGGGAGCTTTGAAAGCATCAATGAGGCATCTTAAAGGCAAGAAGATAAAGGCCTCCCTTTAGGAATAGAGGCCAAGTGAAGAAAAATTAAGTAAGCAGAGATTAAAACAGTTACATTAATCTCCTAAGTAACTGAGTTTGCACTTAAAATGTTTCCTTAGCCTTTACTTTGAGGTATTATGTACGGTACGTTGCACAAGAGACTGCAGAAAGTGGTATTCTTCTTAGTAAGCTTGTTTTCAGAAAAGGCATTATAGCTGTACTCTAAAAGTATCCATATCCGGAGAAAGCCTAACTACAGGGCTAAAAGCTATCCTAAACAATCATCACCTAGATAATAGGGGTGGGGCTATGGTGTCAAGGAAAGAATTCACTGCCAAGGGGACATGTTTGAACCCTCGGTCCATCTCATTTCTAAGTAAGTCACAGCATTCCTGAGAAGTTGGAGAAGCAGCTAGGACAACTATGAGAAACACCATGGGAATACGACACGTCTACTGAGTTCACTGTCTTTCCTCGTACAGAGCCTCCCCAGTCCACCTCTACAGGCATGACAGTACCCCAGCTTCAGACTAAGCTTCATTATTCCTAAGAGGTTTTTTAAAAATTTAAAGTATTACATGTACATGGCTTTAAAAAGAAATACAGAAAGGTCTATACGAACAAGTAATAATCCTCTGAAACTTTCCCATACCACCAATTCTGATCCTTAAGAGATAACTACAATATTTTACTCTATTAGCTGTTTTATCACTTGGTGGCTACTGTCCTATGTTAATGTAATAACTTATGCAGTCCCTCTTTTTATTAATTTTAGACATTTAAAGAATTTAGCTCTTACCTATTATACTCTTACACCATCCTGCTGATTTTAATAAATCAATAAACATTTGTTACCATCACTCTATAAGACTATTATGTTGTTCATAATACAGTATCTTTTAAATATTAAAGAAGGAGGTGCAAAAATTTTCCTCTGAGTATAGTAATTTATTCTTTATAGCAAAGTATAAGTTTAATTTTCATTTGTATCTTTAACTAGATGTCTGGAAAACACTGGGTTGGTCAAAAAGTATGTTTAATTTTTTTCTGTAAAATAAAAGATGCATTTTTCATTTTTATCAGTAACATTATTGATTTAGATATTTTGAAAATGTCGGCTATCTCCCACATGGTAGACCATTGATTATTCTCAATCAATGTCTTAATTTTATCACTATCAGCTTCAACTGGTCTACCCAATCGTGGAGCATTGTCCAGTGAGAGATTTCCCGCATAAAACTTCACAAACTGCTTTTGACACATTTGATCAGTCACAGCACCTTCTCCATATACTGCACAAATCTTTTTTGCATTTTGGTTGCTTTTACCTTTCTTGAACTAATAAAGCATAATATGCCGAAAATGTTGCATATTTTCTTCCATCTTCAATATTAAAATGACTACACAAAAATTCACCAATTTGGGAAGTTTTTTAAAATGCACACTGATATGATAGCAGTCACAATACAATCTAACAAAACTGTTTCGAATGAATTTAAAGACAACTAAGCTCTACTAGAGCCATCGTACAGAAAAAAACCTATGAACATTTGGCCAACCCAATATTATGAATATAAACCCACCACAAAATGCAACAGATCTCACTATTAGGAAGTTATTCCCTGTACTTGGCCTAAATTTTCTTTTTCCTACTCATGAAAGTGAGGGAAGATCATTTGAAGGAAGGGACATCCAAATACATAAGGGGTATTGATGGTAAACTGCATGACTAGGTATAAACAAACTACCCAGATCCTTTGTGGTACAAATAAATACCAAACTAGATAAACTAGGAATCAGTGACCATCATCACTTTTGGTTCTGTGATTGTAAATGACGAAATGTCTTATTTAGCTTTTCTACACTATAGCTTTCTCCACAATGTAAAAGAATATATACACTGAGAAATAGAATAAGTTTTCATTTATCCTGAAAAAAATTTCCCTATGTTCAAAATTGATGCCAATGACCCAAGAACACTAAGTGTTTTCTGAATTGTGAAAGTTTAATCATTCCCAGTCAAGTTTGCATTGTATTTCAAAACTCATTGAAAATGTTCATTGCTATGGTAAGCACATTAAAAGCCCAGCATTTAAATTAACTAGAACCCCATTCCCCTCTTTTCATGTATTTGGACAAATATGATTATTTCTGTATGAATGTCACAGAAATGTAAAAGTATGATACTCACACTTGGCATAGAGACAGTCCATCATTGACTGCACTAAGTCCAATTTAGCCTTGATGGAAAAGTTGATAAAGTTGGTATCAACCAGGATGTGGTAAGGTGGGCCCAGCTGTGTGTTATATTGGAAGAATAAGCAGGAAGAGTATTGGGGACTGAAAGAAAAAGAAAACACAAAGTAATATGTACATTGATAGTTTGGTATCAACAAAAACAAGATTCTACTTGGAACAGTTTGCCATAGATTAAGCTCCTTCTTTCTTGTTCTTGGAAATAAACCCTGTGATTTATCCATCACCATTCTAAGGAAAAATGAGAAAAAGTAAGAAAAATGTGAAGAAGTTTCATAAAGTTAAATGTGTTTACTTAAAAGGAATAACCTTTATTCTGAAGATACAGCCTTACTATTTTTTTTGATGATGCATTTTCTCTTTTCTGAAACAACTGTGTGTGAAACAATGGTAATTAAGAGCATTTCAGACCCTGCTTTCCAGCATTTGTAATTAGTTTGGCTTAAATAAACTCATTTTAGGGAAAAATTTACTGGTCTATGAAATTCAAAAGCCTTAGGACCATTCTAGTTGATATACATACATTAATATCATTTTTGTTTGCATAGTTGTAGGCTTACAAATGACTGAGCAAATCAGTTCAGGAAAGCCTGGATTTCTGAGAGGTGTATGGTTTTAGAGTATTTTTAAGGAACACTTGAAAAATGTGGATTACTCACACTTCTCTCTCCTTGAGTGCACTAGGATCTTTCTTTTCTTTCTTTTTAGGTTTTAACCTATCCTTTTCTTTACTAGGAAAGAAAAAGCAAATTAAATGCAGAAAATAAGAAAAAACAATAGCAGTTATAATCTCATTCAAAATTAAAAGTTTCTTTTCTTGTCTTCAGAGGAAATCTTATCTTGTAACTGCTTTACATTAATATGCGCATACTTTTTTACATTAACATAAACATACGTATTTTTTACTACAAATAACTGTGGGAAGTAGCCTGAAATTAACATAATTAATTCATTAGACACAAGTTAAAAAATCTCTAGCAATAACTCAAAAATTATCAATGGATAAATATAGATGTTAGTTATACTATCCTTTCTTTCTTGGTCAGAAGCTCTAATCAAGGATCAAAACGTCAGCCTTTCTACCCACTGCTTGGGTAAAAAGGCTGACATTTATCTCCTGAGGACTCAGATGTTTCAACATTAGGGAGAGGGAAGGAACCTCTACATGTCTTTTATAAAGGGTTAAAATGTAACAATATATACACACTATTTAACCTTTAACTAGAAATGAAATATTTTCAATGGGCAAACTTCCCAAACACTACAAATAAAACACAGACTAAAGGCTGTATTTTCATACAATCCAGTAACTGTGGAGACACTGAGGACAGTTCCATTGCACTGAGCTCTTAAACACAATGAAGGCCAGTCCTTATGAAATAACTTTGTCCATTCTTCACCGAAGCAGGGGAGCCTTTGAAGTCCGTCTTATAATAGGAAATACCGTTCTACCCTCTTCTCCCACTGTGAGATTTACAAAACAAAGACATTTAGACGTTTCCCATTCTTTCTTCCAAAAATATTTGAACATCAGGCGCTGGAGACACAAGGCAAACACGGTATCTGACCTCACCTTCTTCCAACACTTATAACATTTTTTTCTGTGGAATGGGGGAGTCTAACGACAGGAACATAAAGATATCCTACTCACTTCACAGAACTATTAGGAAGCTTAAATACGATACGGCAGATAAAGTACAAAAAAACGGTGAACAAGGTGAACACTTAGATGTTCGATTCCCATCCCATTCACCAGTGTACTCAACTCGGCGGCTATGCGGATGGTACACACTGGACTATCTCATGCTGTGTAAGCCGAAGACAATAATATTAAAAGTGAATACAAAACAACAACAATAGTTTTGCTACTTATCCCCTCGTGACTTTTGTATCTCTAGGCAGCCTATGAGCCCAGTTGATTCCGGACACTCACAGCCTCTGATCTCTCAGACTAAGCATTCGCTTCATGGTCGCATATTTCCTTGTTTTCTTTTGCTTCCCCTTGAAAGAGAAATTTTAGGGTTAAAAAAGTCGAAAATACATCCCATGTTCTTGAGTTCCTCCTTTTCTTCTGTCCACTCCTTTCCCTTCTTCCCTCAAAAACCCACCTCCGGATCCTTTCAGTCCTAACCCAGCCCTGTGCCTACTCGCTAGAGCGTAACGGGGCCCGCCTGGAGCACTTCAACAGTTAGGATTGGAATGAAAATAAGGAAGTGTGGAGGAAATCTGGCCAGGGGCTGACTCTCCGAATTTTGGCCCAAAATATAGTCTGATAAAGGTCCTTCTCCAACCCTCCTCTCTCACCATAATCACGCCGCACTCTTGTTTCTTCCGGATTTACCATTGCGCGACACTTTTGCGTCATCCCTACACTACTTCCGGCAAAGGATAGCCCGGAAGCGGAAGTCATCTTGGGAAACGTAAAAGCCCGGAGCCGGTTCGCGTCCCAGGCGGAGATCTGTACTTGGATCTCCAGTCGGGAGGGTCGGGGGCAGGTCTTCTACCGTGGTTTGCTGCCGCCTGTCAGGGCAGCAGAACTGGGACGTCACCGCGCTGCAGCCTCCAGCTCTGGTAACCTTTCTCTCCCCACTCCCGCAAGGGGCAGAGTCCTGAGGACCTTTCCTGCCCCAGAGTTCCAGGGAGAGGGAGGACAGGGGAGGAATTCTGGGTTCTCCGGTAGTTTTGGGAAACGCATTCTTGTCATCCCACAGCGCTGGGCGTCAGGTCTCTGTCGTTCAACTCGGAGGCTCCGGTTCCCACTTGATTCTCCTAGCCGGCGTGGTACTTGGTGCAGCAGGGTGGACGGTTCTCAAGATTCTTCTCGAGTAAATACTGTGTATTTACTGTGTATGCCTATTGGTGAAGAGAAGGGGTGAAGCAGCGTTTGAGGGTCTTCTTTAGACTATCTCTAGAAAATCGGGGTATAATCTTGCACATGTTACTAGTTACCAAGCCAGGAAAATGGTGGGAAGTAATTGACATTTATTGTGAAGCCTTGATGTGTCATCCTTAATGGAAAAGGGAGCGATTTGGAGAACAAGAAGGGAAACATAACTTTCATTTTTTGAATACCTGCGGTGTACTCCGGTGGTTGTTGACCTTTTGGAGATCACGTCCTGCTTGAAAGTTTATGGAAAGCCAGGGACGATTCTTTTTAAAATGGGTACACAGACAGTATTTGTCACACAGTTTATGAAACTCGTGGACTCTGAAGTCCATCCGTGGACATCCTAGGTGTCTGTGAACGTATCCGTATCTAGTATACTGTACTTGACACTTTACAGTTGTATTCTTTGACCTTCACAATAACTTAAGTATCCTCGTTTTACGTAGAATGAAACCGAGGCTCAGACTTATTCAGGGGTTCGTTTGAATGCAAAGCCTGTACTTTTTTTACTGCACAAAGCTATCTTACTGTTTGAGATCCAAAAAAATTTTCAGGTTAAAATTTAAAAAGCTGACCATTGCACGACCCTCACTATTAAACAGAGTATATTGGTTAACATGAACTTTCGGGTCTGATTGATGGGGCTAAAATCCACACTCTGCTTCTTACTAGCTATATGACCTTTGAGTGAGTTAATCTATCTGTGACTCGGTTTCTTCATCTGTAAAATGGAGATATCATTAGGGCTAAATGAGTTAAAATGTGAAGTCCCTAGAATAGTGCGCCCACCACAGCTAAACCCTGTTAAAGTATTTTCTATTATTGTCATTGTGTCTTCCAACATAGAGTATGTGCTGGTGGTGGAATTTTATGTTGATTGTATTTTAATACAGTTGCTCTATTTTGGAACTTGAATGTGTTGATAACCTGAAGAACCTTATTAAGTTTTCAGTTCTTGAAAAGCTCAATTGAAGGATGGTTACTCATACTGATTTGAGTACAGACAGTTTTTGTTCTGCTTCTTTCTCTTTTAGACATACGTGCATTTAGATAGCTTTGCAGTTCACATGTATGATTTCGTAGGCTCTGAATTTTTGATGTTGAAGTAGTTTTACTATTCAAGTATCTACAGATACTGTATGTGCCTCTTGCAGTCACTGGAAGTTCCTAATCTTTTCAGAACAGCTTGTCATGCATGGGTAGAGCCAACAGTGACCACTTTTTTGATACATTAGATCTTTTGGGTTATTAGGCAATAAGGTTTTTAAGTGACCATAAACAGTTGTTTTTTAAAAACACTTGGAGAATGGTTGGTATATTTACGTGTAGAGGGAAAATCACATATAATTAAATAGTTACTGGCATTTAAATTCAGGCATTGGAAAACTAAAAAACATTCACCTGGTAAATATGTACTCTGAATTTTGGAATCCATGAATGGTAATAACTTTAAAAAAAACACAACAAACCAAGTGGTGTGTAATATCTATTCTGAGAATTTTCTGATTTTCTTGATTGTTAATATTTGATAGGGAGCTAAATTAGTATAGGAACACCATGGGGGATGAGAACATGCTTAAAGAAAGGTGTTTTTGTTGCGTGGTAACTTTATTGCAATCTGAGATTCTTATGGTCTAAGATGCTCTGATACTCTGTACTCAGATACTCTGTAGCATGTTTTAATGGTGATGGGAGGAGGAGGTCATGTTGCTTTGTGCTGGGTGGGAGCAGAAAGGAATTACTTGGACTGCATACTTGTGAGAAATAAATGAGTATAACTCTTCTCAGCAGTCAAGAGGGTTGTTTTGTATTTCTGTGCAGTCTTGAAAGGAAAAAAATGCTCAAAGCATTCACCCCACAGTTTAAACCCATAACTGGGCTCAGACTTCATCCCATTTACTAGTTGGTCTAACTTACCAATTTAAGTTGATAACAAATTTCTTTTCTAAAATCATGGATGGCGAAAGATTCCATAAAGAATATCTTGTAATTCAGTTTTAGAAAGTTAGAGGTAGATTCATTTTTTATGGCAATCAAGGGGAAAAAATTCACAGATATTTTCTTTATTTTTAAGTTATGGTTTTTACACATATTTTTATCTTCTGTGACCTGAAGTTTTTTTTTCTCAAAAAATATTAGTTGCTGTTGATTATTTTTCAGTTAACTTGATTACCTCCTAAATGTGGTAGCATGGTGTACAGCATGCTTTGCTCCTGAGGTGTTGACTTTTTTTTAAAGATTTTATTTATTTATTTTTAGTGAGAGGGGAAGTGAGGGAGAAACAGCAGGAGAAAAACACTGATGTGTGAGAGAAACATCCATCGGTTGCCTCTCACAAGCCCCCAGTGGGGCACCTGGCCTGCAACTCAGGCATGTGCCCTGACTGGGAATCCAACTGGCGACCTTTCAGTTTATGGGACCATGCCCAACCCACTGAGCCACACCAGGTAGGGTCCAGGGTCTTCATATTGAGCTGGTTTGTAAGGATGCCTCAGAGGCACATCACTGCTGAGTATTCGTTCTGTCAGAAGGCATTTATTGAGGGCTCATTTTGCCCTAACCACTGTGCTGGTTTCTCTTCAAGAGCTCAGGCCTGTCTGTGTTGGGGAAGGGTTTGTGAATAGGTGAAGTGTGGAAGGTGATTGACAGAGATGTGCAAATTAAAATATTTTAACAGATTTACTCTACCTGTTAATTTTTCTGAAAGTGGTCTGGGTCAGAGTACTGTTGTACAATATTTATTTAATACTATAACAGATCAAATTATGTGACCTTAATGGATTCTAGTATATCATTTTACCTTTTAAGTGACTTTAGCCATCAAATAGCTTAGGTTTAAATTTGAGTTATCTTTCTTTGGTTTCTCTTCTTTGAGGGGTTCATGAATGTTTATCCCTCACTGATGTTCTTTTGTAGAGTTGTTTTCAAACTTTCGAGGTTGTTTATCTTACTGTAGTTGGTGTGTGTGCCTGAGGCCCTGATATGGTGTTATGTCATCATGATGTTTTCCTGGTGGGACTCTTGAAGCCTGTTCTGAAATGATGGTTTAATAGAAAGAGGTGAGTATTCATTTACTTATAAGAAACCAAATAGCCATGGTAGATATGTTTTGTCACTTAGCCTGAGTGGAACTGTGCCATATGGTTTTAGTATGGATTTTTGTTACCTTGAATAGTTGAGGAATTTGCTTTTCAGAGCTTGTAGCTGATGCATTCATTTTGGTGTAGTTTCCTTGTTGGTGTTGAGATGTTAATAGTCAGCATCTGTTCATTGTATATTTTGTTCATTATCCTTTTTGGCTAGAGATCAGGTAAAAGTAATCTAATAACATGTAACATACATTTTCATTAGTGTCCCCTTGTTTTTATCCAGAGATCCAGCCCAGGTTGTTTAAACCCCTCTCTTGTCCACTAAGGAAAGTTCTACTCCAAGGATTTCCCCTGGTGTATGTGGTGAAGCTATTAGGAAGAGAAAATAATTAAAACCTCCCAACAGAGATAGAGTTTTTCATGGTTTTGGTAAAGAAGGAAATCCAGCCAGGCTGCCTAAATTGTTTGTAGTAAAGAATTGAAAAGGAGTTAAAAAAACATTTCAGTCAAACATTAACCGGAATTGGGGCAGTGATTAGGAAGGCATGCACCATCAGAATCCTAAAGGGTAGTGAGAATGGAAAGTGGGGAACCATGTGTAGTTTTTTTGAAGCTATTTTATTTTGGAGTAATTTTAGAGTTACAGAAAAGTTGTGGAGATGGCACAGAGCTCCTGTATACCTTTCACCCAGCTTCCCGTGATTTTGTGTTACGTAACCGTGGTGCATTTGTCACATCTAAGAAATTAGCATTAGTACAATACTATTAACTGAACTACTGACTTTTTTTGGATTTTCCACTGATACCCCTTTTCCGTCCCAGGATGCAATCCAGGGTGCCACATTGCATTTAGACCATGTGTAATTTTGATAGCTAGGTTGGAGTTTCCAGTGAGCTGTTTCTGTGCCATGTATGTGACCCAGGAATCTCTTGCTGAATAGAGAAAGTTATTAACCATGAGAATAAACAAGACTGCACGGGGAGTATTTTGTGCCCCTTGATTCCCAAAGCGCTGTTAACTCAGTGGAAGAGCTGTCTTGGCTCCCAGGAGCGTGGTGTGAAGTTTTCTGAGAAGCTAAGAGCTGATCCTGATTGAGGGGCCCTTCCTGGGCCCTGCTAACACTGTGTCTCACAGATTTTACTACGTGGAGCTATCACATCATTTTCTTGTCTGTCTTCTTACTAGCCTCTATGTTTCTGGGGGGTCAGGGACTGGCTTTCTCATGTTGGAACCCCCAGGGTCAACATACTACTTGGCCTGTGGTTCTTAATGCACGTTTGAAGAAATTAACAAGTCCTTGTGTTGGTAACATT